AAATATTAAAACACTAAAAAAAATGAAAACTTGAGATACTTGAACAAGAAAGTATATGAGAGAGTATGTGAGTATATGAGAGTATGAAAGATGAGTATGAGAATTGGTGTGATGAGAATGGGGGGGGGGGGATGGTAAGGGTATAGTAGTTGGAAATAATTTAATTGATCAAAATACCTTTAAAAACCATTCATTTTACAAATATTGTGAGGGGTATTTTGGTTTTTCATAAAGTTAATTATCACCTTACTAAGATGACCACCAAATTAGTTGTTATATATCTATTAGGGGGCAATTAAATCATTTTCCCCCCAATGCCAAAATACACAAATATCCCTAAGCTAGTTGTTGGGGCAGCACCAGAGGGTATTTCTATAAAAAAAAAACCCAAAAAAACGTTGAATATAGTTGTTAGGGACCCCTAATGGCTATGTTAGAAAGTGGGCTAGTGTGTCCTGTAGTGGGCCAACTTCGTGCTGGGCCGCCTTGAGCTATGGCCTCAAAACCTAAGCCCGGCATGACCCGTATCATGTTGGGTCATGCTGGCCTACAAGCAGCATGACCCACTTTATAGCTCTAAAGACAAGGACAAGGATGGTGATCGGAGTTTTCTTAGGGATGGGAATGGAGAGTAGTTCTTCATCATTGCCTGCCCCATTGTCATTATTGTATAGAAGGACATTCATGGTTAATACTTGTACCCTAAATTTTATCTTAAACATCATCATCATTGTCATCCATGCCTTATCCCAACTATATAGGATTATCTACATGAATCTTTTTTTGCCAATTTATTCTATTTAAAGCCATATCCACTATTAAATTGTTACTGCTTAAATCATTTTTTGCTATATAGGTACCTAAACCATTTTAGTCTACTCTCTCTCATTTTATGCACGTGCCTAAACCATTCTAACTCGTGTAGTTAGTGGTCTTCTATGCACGTGCCTAAACTATTTTAGTCTATTCTCTCTCATTTTATCATTATTAGAACTACTCGTAGGTTCCTATGGGAAACTTCATTACTAATCCTATCCTTTTTAGTTTTTTTCACTCATCCATTTTAGCATTCACATTTTTGCCACTCATTTGCCGGACATGTTTCTTATCTATCCGATACTCCACAAAGTTTATCCTGAACAATGGCTTTATAAATCAGCCTTGTTAGGCACTTCATGGCAATAACTATATAAGGAGATAGTGGGTCTCCTTGCTTTGTACCCCTAGATTCTTGGAAATCTCCTTTTAGAGTTCTATCGACGAGAATAATGAAGCCCTAGAGACGTAGGGCCAAACCATGTCTTACCAATATTTGCCCCAAAACCTAAGGATTTAAAAACCCACATCATGTAATCCCACTCCAAAGTGTTGGCCTTCGTGATATCTAATTTTAGGGCCACATGTAATCACCCATTTTTTTTTCTTTTTTCCTCATTCAAAGCATCAATTCATGAGCTATGCTAATATTGTTGGCTATTCTTACCAGACACACAAGCAATTGAAAGGGAGATATGCACTTATGCAAAAAGATTTTAGTCTATTTGTTATAAGTTTAGTAATTATTTTATATATAGCATTGCATACGCTTAATTTTTGAAGTCCTTGACTGAAGTAGGGTTGGTTGTCTTAGGGATAAGAATTGAAAAGGTATGATTTATTTTAATGAGGATTCATTCATTCTAAAGAAATTCATGCACATATTGATAAATGTCATCCTTCATGAGAAACACTAGAGCTGAAAACCCATCAGGCACTGAGCTGAAAACTCAAGGACCTCTTCTTGAGTTCTCTTAACATGACATTGTCCTATTGAGAAATTATAAGTGTAAATAGGTTAGTGATTAGGACAAATTCATCACTTATGTCAGATTCAAAAAGATTAGAAAATGCTCTACCAAAAAAGAAGCAATTGGGTCATGGCTAGACACCCATTCCCCCAATTGTTTTTGAGCCAATCAATTTGGTTCCTTCTCCTCCTATATTGAGAGTGGCCCAATAAAAAAAAATTCGGAGTTGGCATCTCCATTCAACAACCAAAGTTGCTTGGACTTTTGTTTCAAAACTACTCTTGTCAAGCCAAGCATTTATCCTTCAATTTAGTTTGTTGATTCTCCGAGGGATCTAAATTTTCAAGAGCTACTATCTTTCGATTCACATTCCCAAACATATTTAGGTTCCAAGCTTGCAGATTTGATTTTATACATTTTATCCCATTTTCAAACCCTCCATATTGTCTGAAGTTAAGATTCCGTCATCTTTGTAATCTGAAATTAAGATCCCATCCCCTTTGTACTCTGTAAGGTTTACATTCTCATGGTTGATAGATGGAATGATGGGTTTATGATCTAATCCACATTTTGGTCATACATTTTAAGTCCCTGGAAGCATCCATTAAATGCAAAGAACAAATATTCTATTAGTTTTTTTTGTAACCTTATGCATGCTAGATTGTCCATCCAAAGGCTCAACCATTTTTGCATCCAAGTTGTGGGTTAATGGTTTGATCGCTCGGTTTAGGATGGGTCAGAACATGATACATCAGCAGTTTACCTAGTAATACTAATATACAACATACATACATGTATGTGTGTGCATAAATATTTAATATATAATTACATTCTAAATATTATATATATATATATATATGTGTGTGTGTTTTAGATCTAAATTATATTTTTGTTTATTTTTTAATTTTTTATAAGCAAAAAGAAGCTAATAATTGGGATATGATACCAGGAAAGGTGTTTTTTTTTACACAAATAGCGGGAGAAGGAAAAAAACAAAAAAAAAAAAATCACTATGGATCAACCAAACACAATGTTATGCCCTCTCAAAGTTTTTTTTGGAGGAATTCATAAGTGCCTGTCAACTTGGGGCCGTTTGACAAGTCTTTTTTAAAAAATCTTCTAGAAGCTTTGACAGTCAAAAGATAATATGAGCTTTTGTATTAAGATTTTAACAGCTTAAAGACCGTTTGATTAAGGCGCATCTTTTTTCATGAAGATAAGTTGAAAAAAGGCGAAAAACTCCATTTAGGGCTTTCCGAAAATAACTCAAAATAGGCTTTTCACGTCTTTTCAAAGTTGCGACTTTCAATGACTAAATCTTTTGCCAATTAAACAAAAAAAAAGACCAAAATAAGGCTTACAAATTTCTAAAAAACCAACAGACCATACAAAAAGACACTCTAAACAGCCTTAATTAACCAACCTGCCATTTGATTTCTCTCTCTCCACTTATGAGAGAGTATGTAATCACGAGAGATCTGCCTTCCATGATGCAAAGACTCTCTTTTAATACCGTTGAACACTTCCACCTTGATGGAGTCATGGAGGTGACTTGCTCGAAGGACTCCGCCTGAATGATCCATAGAGAGCGCATCACCAAAATCCTTGGTTGCCTCTCAAAGTTTTCAATATATTTGGTGTTTTAAGTTTCTAACTGAATCGACGGGTCGATGACTCAACCAACGCATCAAAGGGTATTTGGTAAATTTCCAAGTTTTAAAACAACCAGACTCAAAAATGTGATCGGATGAGAGATCAAACGATTGACAGTCCGGTCAACTACGGCTCGAAAACACTGGTCGGACCACGTGAACTCTTCCTTACAAACATTTATTTCCAACAGATGTGAACTCCAATTAATGATATGCACCAGGTTTCCCGCCTATATGTCAGACATGTCAATTCCCCTCCTACCTTAAATGTCAGCAGTACCTGAAAAAACAGGCTTCATTTTCAATTCTTCATAAATGCTGATGTAGCAATCTTTAATTTTTATTTTTTTATTTTTGCTTCAGATGTTGACGTGGCAATCTGGTGCATTGAATTCTTTCATGAAACATATCCTTGTCAGTTGCCAGATACCCTCCATTATGGGCCAGCAATGGGATTGCATATTTACTACTTACGGTGCAAGCATTGAGCAGCACCTATTAATTGGCTTTGGAGGGAAGGAGATGCTTTTGATGCTAAAGATCATCAATCAATTTGATTCCTTTGGACATGGTGGCCCACAGGTTTTGTTTAAGAAATTAGTGGGCCCCCAAGTAATAAATATCATAATTGGGGCATTTGGGCCACCTTTTCCTTTGATGGAGACCGTTGGATTATATTTTTCTGGTCCATGCTTCACTGAATAGATGAACTATGGATCTCTGTCTCTCATTGATTCGCTTCTTTACTTAGCAATTCCTTTGAAACTTCCTAGTTGGGTCAGTCTTGCAAAATTTAGCCTAAGTTACTTGCTCAAGCTAGGAATATTTGTTGTCTAAGAAATCTTTCATTACTGACATTTACATAAAGAAATGAATAAAGTGAGACACAGAGACATTTATTTATTATAAATTATGATGCTATGTTCCATCATCTGTAGACTGAAACTTTCCACGATGAACACTTTTGACAGTTTATTCCTTGGATTATTTGTTGTTTATTTATCACCATTTATTGCTTTCTTTAATTCTTTGAGTTAGGGTGGAGACAGAAGATATGGGCTTGAATTGGTCTGAGGTATGGGCCAGGCCCATTATCTCCTTTGGGTTACCCAACACAAAATTTTGTCTAAACCCCAGAAAAATAACTCAATAATAAGATTAGATGTTCGAAGTTTTGAAAATTCGAATATTATATACACAGTGATGCTTATAGATTGTTATTTCCATCTATGAAAGAGTAAAGTTTGAGTTGTACCGTGAACTGCACGGAAAAGGAACCATGATTGCACATGCAAATTATGCAAGACGAATGATTTGGGGGGCCCCTTAGGATGACAATGTGATAACTGGGCCCTTGGCGATGGGATCATTCAGAAAAGCCCATGTCCAATCTACCGACCATTTTTGGCATTCTCCGTTAGGATCAAATGTCATAGTGAGGGTAAATTTGTATTGTACTAGTACAAACAAATCATTTTACGTTCTCCGGGAAGCAAAACAAAACAAGATAGATCCAGTTGGAAATTGGATTAATCACGTCCATGTCACCAACATGCCAAGGACTATCCCGTCAAATACTCAATACTCGAAACATAGAAGATCAAAGCTGTCTACTTTGCTTTACTTTGAGCGGTCTCTCTCTCTCTCTCTCTCTCTCTCTCTCTCTAGTCTCTCCCCGCTTCTTTGCGTCTCTGCAGAAAATTAAAATACGGTTAAAGAACCCATGAATAAATGGGGTGTGAGAAAGAAGAAACCCTAACACCAAACACCAGTAGAAGAAATAAAGAAATGACAAGAAACGGAAACCGATGAAGAACATCGATGGGGAATCGGATTTGCAGGAAGAGTACGGTCGAGGAGCGGTTCACGAGGCCGCAGCGGCTCGTTCGCGCCAAGTCCAACGTCGACTACAAGAATCTTCGGAAGCTTATTCTATCTCAAAAGCTCGCGCCTTGCTTTGATGGCATCGAAGAGTCTAATAATCCTGATCTTGAAGAATGCCCAATTTGTTTCTTCGTAATAACTCCTGCTGGTTCCTTTCTTTAGAAAAAAAAGGGTTTTAGTGGTTTTTTTTGCTAATACTGTGGCGGTTTTGGTGTTGGGTTTGTATTTTTTCTCAGTATTATCCGAGTTTGAATCGGTCGAGATGTTGTACGAAGGGCATTTGCACCGGTATGTTGGCGTTCTCGTTGGGATTTTCGAGAACTCTCTCTCTTTCTCTCTCTCTCTCTGTGTTTGTTATTTTTATTTTTATCTTACTGAGTTTGATGTCTAATTGGGTGTTCCTTTGTGTGGTTTTACTGCAGAATGCTTTTTGCAGATGAGGCCTTCAAATGCTATGCATTCTCCTCAGTATCCTCTTAAAATCATAATTGCTTGGATTGCTTATTTCTTTGTCTGTTGGTTATTTTTCGTGAGTTGGCGGTTGGTTACTTTTATTTTTTTGATATTCTGCATTTGAGTTCTTCTGTTTATTTTTTGATCTTCTATGTTTGTGTACAAATGGGGGTTGCTTCTGTTAGAGGAGAACTGGCAATTTTCTGTTCTTCTGAAAAGTAATAAATAAATGAAACTGAACCCTTTTGTAGATTATAATGTAAATGGGTTCCCAGATGGCGAACCTGCTCAAAACTTGGGTTATAAACTTGGAAGTAATCTAAAATGGATTATTTGAGTAAAGAAAGAAAGTAATCAAATACAAGCAAAGTTGAATAGCTAGATTAATGAAAAAACTATGCTTGGTTGGAAAATTCATATAATGACATATCTGCTGCTTGAGATAAAAATCCTTACTTGAAGTAGTTATTACAAATGGAGACTGATGAATCAGCTGGAAAAGATCAGATAATCTTTCACCATTGGAAAGCCTGTAGAGTCCTAGTAATTTTTGCATGGATAGTACTAACTTTGTCTTGGACAATCTAGGCTAAAAATGTATTTAATAACCAAAAGAAATACTGAACTTACTCATATGCTACTTTTATCATATCTGTTGCAACATTAAAAGGACAATGGAAAAATAAATTGGGATGAAGACAACATTATAAAGCACAAAATACCGATATAGAAAGCCCACAGCTGCATTTGGCAACAGTACAAACGTTGGACCAAAGCCAATTTGTACTCTGGTTCAGTTTTTCTAGTATTTCGTAAGCATACATTTGTGTACCGAAAATGATAAAAATTATATTTTTTCTGATATGTTTGCATTCAAAATGGGAGCAAAGGTTGCTTCCAAAAAATGGATGCAAACTTTGCACTCGAAATTGGTCATTTTAAAAAGTTTGAGTCCAATCTTTCGAATTCATGTTTGTACCCATCACAACCAAAACCATTTTGGTAAGAATGCAAAACCAAAACTAACTTTGAATTTTTCATGAACTGTGCAATATTTGCACTCTTATCAAGCACAAGCCTAAAGGACAAAATGCTGAATAGGCATGGAGGTTTTAACCTTTTGACCTTGACAGGATTGTGTTCTTCATGGATGTTTTTCTGGCATATGTATACAATACAAAGGTAATACATGGAAAACAAAACTATCCACTTATTTAACTGAACACATGGGTATAAGACTTCTTTTAGCTCCCAAAACACTGAACCATGTAGCTCTCTGTGGTTTCTGAGGAACCATTATAAAATGCATGGCTTTTTTTCAGCCCTACTTTAATGATTTTAAGTCTGAGAAAATTGAATCCTTTCTGGTTAATGTGTCATTTTTATGTTGTTTTCATGTTGAATAATGGATTTTAGTTTTGTAATTTAATTTTTCAATGTTGAGAAGGTTATACCTGTGTGATTTCTAAAAACGGAAATTATTCATTTCTTTTAGATTGTATCCTTAGCTGGCAAAAGGTGCCCATTCTGCAAAACTCCAAGTTATGCCGTCGAATACCGTGGTGCTAGGACACAAGAAGAAAAGGGCCTTGAGCAAGCTGTATGGGTCCTTAACTCTGATTCTCTTTTGTTTCAGATAGTTATAGTGTATTATCTGTTTGAGGAGTTGAATGTACATGCATTGGGTTGTTGGTGGTTCAGGAAGAACAGAGGGTTATTGAGGCCAAAATAAGAATGCAGTTGCTAGAATCACAAAATTCAGATCAGGTCATTGTAAACAACCGGAATTCCTCTTCTTTGGGAGTTCAATCTTCAGTCATTGGCTCCAGGGAATCGTTGAATGGTGCGTCTCTTGTTCTTCAGTTATGATACATTGTACATATTTCAGTTGGATGCCATAATGGCTTACTGCCACTGATATGCAACTCTCATTATTTCTCTCCATATTTTTTTAACTAAGCTTTTTTTGATGGAATGAGCAGGTAGATTACAGGACATAGAGAACAGAGATCTATCTTTAGTGGGTCAGGGAATCCAGGTTGCTGGATCTCCTGGAAGTGTATGGGATATAAGGTTCATTATATTCTTTTTCTTCTATTTTATGGCATTAAGTTTTTACAGTATTAAAGTTTCTGTATAAATTGATTAATAGTGTGTTTGAAGAAACTCTGCTAATAATTTATTCTAATTACCATGAAAATTATTCAGCAACCCTGGTATTCTTTTCCTCACTTTTTCTGGGTCCATTCAATATGTGATAGGAATACTAATTGAAGAATCTATTTTTGATGTTTGAGGTATTTTAGATGGATAACTGAATCTTGTTGATTGATTTGTTAATGGTTATTATAGAAAAATGTTGACCCACTGTCCCTAAATATGCCAACTATCCTGCCTAGGATTTGGAGTTGCCATCAATTCTGTAGCCTTCGTAACTTTTGCAGGATCTCTTATATTAGATGTGTTTATTTTTCACAGGGATTTACAATTTTAAATTCTTGTCTTTAGCTCTGGCTTAGGCATGAGATATTAGTTCCCACCTAGGAAGACTTAAGCTCATTCTGAGATGCACTTCCAAAATTTTGTCAATCCTTTTCTCTCATAAGATAAAAATATGTTGAAGCATCACATATTTAAATAAGAGGCTTGTGGTATTTCAGATTTTGCTGAAATTTTCTTATTGTTGTTGCTTTTTTGGACAAGTAATAAGGAGTTTTATTATTCCTGTTGTTGGAAGTTTGTAAGTTGTTAGGGGGTAGGCCATCCCCATACCCATAACCCCCAACTAGGGGTGTTAATAGACCAGGTTTTGTCCAATTTGATCTGCTTTGATTTAAATCCATTAACATGCGGTCTGAATCTGATCCAATCTGAATCCAATTAAGAGCTCCAATCCAATCCATTTTAATGCAAATGGGTTGAAATAGTCTTGGTCCTATATGAACTGGACTAACTAAAATAAAAAAAAAAAATCATAGAAAACTACAGAAAATAACATAAATTAAAAGTAACAGAAAAATAAAAATTAAAAAGCTAGGAAGTAAAAATAAAGATTATAGAAAACTACTGAAATAACAAACAGAAAGAATAGAAAAAAAAAAGAATTGCAAGAGAGAGAGAGCAATAAAGAAGGGGGGAGAGAATGGAACAGAGAGAAAAAGAGTGAGACAGAGAAGAGAGAGAAAGAAAGTGAGATAGAGATAAAACGGCATATAGAAGGAAGAGAGAGAGATAGAAAGAGAGAGAGGATGAATGGTCCGGAAGAAAATAGAAGAGGGAATCCATATCTTTTATTGAATTCAAAATTTAAGACGAGAAAGGGCAGAAAACACTCAGGTTTTGTGTATTGGGTCAGTGGAATTTGGACGGACCATTGGACAATTGAACTATGTACATTCCAAACAGAAAAACACATTGGGCGTTTTAACTCTGGACTGGTCCAATCCAATGTCTTATTGCACCATCCAATCCATTCTAATCATATAGGGTCCAGACCAAACCCAGTCCATTGATACCCCTACCCCCAAATTTGGTGGCAGAGGGATTTGATCCCAAGTCTCCATGACAATGAGCCGGAGACCCTACCAACTGAGCCACCATCAGTTGGTATACATAATGTGGTGATCACTAATAAAGTCCCTGTTGTACTCAATTGAAAATTGGACATTTATTTTATGCTTCCTAGCCTTTTTCTTTTGTCTAGATTAATGGTTTTTAATACTTTCACTGTATATTGTATTTGTATGCCTGTGTATCACCTTTACTTTATTAGTATATGTTATGAAAGGAAATTATAAGTAATGAAAACAAATACAGAGAACACACAAGATTTACATGGTTCAATATTTCTTTTTTTGCATATGTCCTTGGAAGATCCCTGTGAAATCCACTACTCTCAGTTCAGTACAACTCTAGTGAAACAAGCTAGTATATATAGATCACTGAATTAGGTTTCTTAGGGTTCCTAATATGTTTACAACTGAGAGTAAAACATATATAAAAGAAATTCACCTGTGCAGGTGTTGTATGGAACTATAGATGAATTGCACATACCATTTGGGCCCTGGACAGCTGGACCCCTGTCTGGAGGTGCTTGACTCCCCCCAGACCATCCCAATTCCCTGTCATCAACTTGTGTTGTCAATATATGCATATCATATATGTATCGGTTTACCCAGATACAGATGGATACACCGATTCAAAATGATTTGGTAAAATTTAAAAGTTTACAAATGTGGGCCTCCAGCCCTCTAATGATTATAAAATAAAAAAAAAATACAAAACAAAAAAGCAAGAGGTGTATCGGTGATATCTACACACACCAATACCCAACTTTGGGTATCTGGAATATTGATATTTCGGTCCTTGGTGTTGAGTGCAAGGGAGTTCTGCAAAGCTGAGATGGTGAGCAAATTAGACCTACTTCTTGGCTGGGCTTGGTCCAGTGTATATTGAGCCTCATATTGTCCCTTTGGTTTTATTCATGCTTTCAAGTTGGTAATAGCTTGACCCAGGTTCTGTTAGTTCCATTCTTCCTGATTAGACCATGTGCATACCTGTTGCTTATTTTCAGAACTGGCCTAAGGCAGAGTATCATCCATAACACTTGGCATGTAGTTGAATGATTAGTTCAATATGGGGTTAATTGTTCTTGTTTCATTCACCATCTCCACTCTTTTATAACAATTAAATTTAGGATGTACTTAGCTTCCATGTTTTATGACTTTTTTTTTTTTTTATTTTGGAGTTTTCTGTTTGAATAAGTTTTCGTATGTACTTGGCTTCCATTTCCTTTAGGATTTCTGGAATGCATTATTGTATTTACTGACTACTCTTTTGCAGGTATGATGAATTTGGAGTAGATCTTGAAGACATTATGATGATGGAAGCTATATGGCAATCTATCAAGGTTGGTCTGCTGCTAGTTTTACTTTGGTTCTTTGAGGTTTGATTTTGGATTTCATTCTAAATGATTAAAATAGAATATATTTCACTTAATGGTGGAAATCGTATTTCTTATCCCTTGATTTGAATTGTTAATTACCCTTCTTTAGGATACTAGACTACTGGAAGGTACGGCTCAGCAATCATTAGGATCCATTGACACAGCTAGTGATTGTCATGTGTCAAACCAAACTGGGTCATATTTGGCACTAGTTGGTCAAGCGGCAGTTCCCTCGGATTCAGTAACTGGTGGAGTTGCAGTTGCAATTGCGAGACTGGCACATGAAAATAATTTCCGTTCAGAAATGTCCCAACCAATTCAGGATCATAGTCAGGCCTACCAGTACCAATATGAAAATGCTATAGGACATCATAGCTGCATTCCGAGTAATACATATTGTGATGCAGACATACCAATTAGGTCTGATTTAGAGCAAGAATTTGACGATACAGAGTCAGAAAATTGTTGCCTGGAAAGCTCTTGTTCCGCAACTGAGGATGATTCCTGGGGATCATTCTCTGCCTATCCCCTAAATGGGAGTCAACATTCATCAGATGGGTTCATCTCCGATGAAGATCTGACAGCAGAGATGGTTAATGATGATGAATCCTCATGTATAAGCATCCCTCATACAATCTCTGATTCATCATATGGAAGCCTAAATTCTTTATGACATTGGCAGGAACCCAAGCCTTTTGCAGCTTTCAGGCCCTACTACAGTTGAGAGGCATGCTGTTTGCTAACTTTGGCACATGATCCTGTGACATTTCATTGGCTATCTTAGAAATGGCAATCATCTATGGGCAAAGATCGTGCCCAAGAGATGGTATTATGATTGCCATGGTGTTTGAATAACTTTATCTACCAAATGGTACCTATCTTGAAGAAGAATGGTAAGCCAAGACCCCTGTTGTCATTCAACCTTTAGCATTCCGAGCTGGAGTGGAGAAGAGAAATATAAATTGTCATATGGGTTTTGGTCATTTCCTTTTTCATATAAGAAAAAATGAAAAACAAAATGAAAGGACCTGATTGATATTTAGGGCATGTTGTATCATGAGTGTACTTTGTGCATTTATGTAATCTTGATATGCATATATAGGTGATTGTCATAGGGATCAAACATCAAAGTAACTTTTAGAGCCAGGTCTTTGGTGCTGTTTAATTTTCTTTTAAGTTGCAGATTAAGGGGAAGTTGACAATATAGATGACTACTGTAAGATAATATGGCTGTGTTAAGATGTTTTCTATATTTACCATGTTATAGCTTGTAGCAGTGGTTCAATTTTTTCGGGTTGTTTACGAAGACATTCATACAGTCAGTTTCATGCTATACCTCTGCATTGCTGAACTTGTCATTTCCCAGTGGTTGAGATGGTCGCATGGCACCCTTCTTGCAAGAGGTGTGGGATCAAACCCATAGATCCACAGGCTCTCACTGGTATGGCCAGTGGGCCTCACATGCACCCCGCTCTCTCACCCTGTTTCTCTTGTAAAAAAACAAAAAACAAAAAAAACAAAAACAAAATTTCAGATTTCTTATCCCTACATAACGAGATAGGATTACATTTAGGCCTCGTTCGCTTTTCGGTAAGTTACTTACCCAGGTAAATGCAGTTACCTGGGTAAGTTTTTCCTGGGAAACACTTATTTGGGTAAGTCATGTACCCATGACCTCCAGGTAAGTCATTTACCCATGCTCTTTTATTTCTCAGGTAAATAAGGTAATGACCATTCTAGTCATAAAAATCCACCCATTCAAGTGTTAGCAACTTTCTTCCTAGGTCGGAAAGTTACCCACCTAGATGGGTTAAGTGATGCCCAGGAAAATAAATTTTCCCTGATCCCTACATTAACCTGAAAAATGAACATGGGATTCTTGGTCAATGGGAACCAAAATCTCATTGATCAACTTTCCCCCCTCTTAAAATCCAAAAGAGAACACCCCCTTGAGCAAAAATGGTTCAAACACCCTGAGAGTGAGTATGGGTAAAATAGTATTTACACACATACTTTTTTTAGTTGAAAAGACAAACAAGGACCTGAATTAGCTAAGGTGTGTAGAGGCTCCCAAAACATTTTTTCTGAACAGCCAAAGTGATCTCACCAAAGGGTGATAGGGAAGTGATTTGTCACTTAGTGGCCTAGGTGAGCACTTGTGTCGCCTAGGTGAGCACTTGTGTCACCTAGGCGATGAGTTTTTTAAAATAAAAAAATATAAGCTCTAGGGTAATTCCCTAGGGTTCATAATAATAAGAGTGATTTTTATCTAAGGGTCGAGCCCTTGTTTTGGTCTTATGAAGAAGAAGAGTCCTATTGATTGCTCGTGTGCCAACAGGATAAAATCTTCAAGTTATTTCGTACTTATCAATTCAAGTTTTAAAATCCTAAAGGGTGGGTTTAAAACTATGCCACTAACTTCTATGTGGGTTGATTCCAAACAAAAAAGATGCTAGTATAAAATTCCCAAAAATGAATAATATAGTTTAATAGTATCTATTACACTACTATTAATGACAAAATAAAAACATAAAAATATTGTGTGGTATGCCATAATTAAATAATAATAAATTAAAATAAATAAAATATATAATACAAAAAAAATAAAAAGAATTGGGATATCTCTAATATTGTATATTCATTATACTAAACAACAATAAGTATGTAATGTATGAAGTATTTTTATTAACGATGAAAATGGAATATCAAATTTAAAACAACCTAGAAATGAAGTGATGTCATAGTTAAATAATAAATTTTTAAAAATAGAAAATACAAAGAATCACAAAAATAAAGTAAATAGAGAAAATTTTGGACACATATCTAATGCTATATGTTTATAAAAATAAAATATTGGGTACATCTCTAATATTATAAATTCATTATATTGAACAAAAATAATATTTATACATGAGAAATAATGTTTGTCAATGATGGAAGTGTAATACAAAATTTAATGTCAGACTAGAAATCAAAATATTTTCCTTTTTGGGTGGTGGGTTAGTGGTTTGGGTCAAATGGATTAATCAATGATATGGTGGTTAAATACTAAATCTTTAAAAAATAAAAAAAGTATAAATAATCAAAAGAATATATAAAATATTATATATTAATTATGTCAAACAAAAATTAAGTGTGATAAGTAAAAATTATTTATATAATGTAGATGAAATATATAATTTAAAACTGATTTGAAAGCATAGATATTTTCTTATCTAGATGGTGGATCAATGATTCAACTTTTCAAAAAAATTAATGAAGTCATAATTGAATAAAAAATATTTAAAAAAAAGATGAAACACAAAAAATTACAAAAAAGACATAATTTTTTTGAAAACATTTGGGAACATTTCTAATGTTATATATTCATCATATTAAATAAAAATTATTTTTATTTATGACAAAAATGGAATACAAAATTAAATAATAATAATAATAATAATAATAATTGTTATTATAATTTAAAATTTCCACATGAAATGCACGTACACATTCTTCAGCTACTCCAAAGGGTCTATCAGTCCTATCATTTGATGAATGTTATTCGGTGGTAAAACGGTTCATCTCTTTCTTGATGAAAGAAACAGGAACTGGATTTGGAATTGTTGGAGGAGTCTCTCTCTTTCTCTCTCCTTTTTCCCTAACAAAAATATAGAATGGCAGATTTTGAAAATTTAATGAACAATTAATATTATTTTTTTTCTATACTTAACTTTGGAAAGTTCAACAAGTTACATATAAGTTGATTTTAAAAATTCAAGATATATACAAGTAATTAACCCTTTTATTTTTTAGGCTAGGCTTGGGACCATCCCTCAAGTAGGTTGAGCATGTCCAAACCCAACCTGACCTTATTCTAACCCGAGCATGTCTCCATGTATACATGACTACATGCATATATAGAAAAATATCATGAACTACCAACTTAATCCTGGACTGATATCATCCCACCTAAGTCCATCAAATTTTATTGCGAGCTGGACTCGAGTTTAACAAATAGGGCTTAACCTCAGGCTTGGTCAAGGCCTGGGCCTTAAGACCAACTCTTAAGATTGGGCCTAACTTGAACTTAAACTCGATCAAGCCCGCCCGACTTGCACCCCTAAGCCCGTTTAAAATTGGGAGCTAACTCGGTCAGAAAATGGCTGTGGATGATTGGTCAAACGGAAAGAAAACGCCAAAAGAGATTTGGTTGGTATTTAACAAGTGTAAGCCAGTAAACCCTTCGCACGTATGAACAGAACCGTGCGAGAACCCAAGAGGCCAAAAGAGATTCGTTCAACTCTCTTGGCCTAAATATTAAATTGGCTCTTCGCCTCTTCCTCGTCAAAAAACCACCGATCTTCGTAGTTCTCCCCGTTCGTAGCTCTTTGTTGTGGTCGATTGGATCTGAGATGGCGGACGAGGTAATCTCATTTTCAAGCATGGCGTCTTGGCCTTGGGTTTTTCTTTCTCACAACCTTCTTTCCTCCCTTTCTGTGTGTTAAATCGAACGAATGATATTCCAAAGATTAAATTTTTATGGCTTTTCTTTCTCGAACCAATGCAATCTTTCAGTCATGATTTAGGTTGCGAAGATAATATTGTCAGATAACGAAAAAGAAATTGAAATTTTGTTTTCGTTGTATGCTTTGATCGTCGTTCATCTGTTTGGTTGTTTGTGTGCTTGTTTTCTCGCCTTTTGTTATAAAACATTTGTTTTATATTGATAAACTGATCAGGATTCTTAAAATCTTGATAAGATTGGTGAGATTTCATCTAGTGGGAGTTAATATTTTAGGACAACTGTATAATTTTTGGGTAGTGCGTTGTGGTGGAAATCTTGTTTGATAAGTATGGTTGAGTGGATCGTGTGAAAAATGCCGAAAATGTTTTGGTAAATAGATAGTGAAGATTTGTGGTCAAATGGACTGAGTTTAGGCTTATAATCTTGGGTTAGTTTGTGTTTTCTTATCTGCAATCCCCCATTTTTGTTGGCCTGGATGCTAGCTATGGCATTTTATGTTCTATTCGAATGATTTTATTGCTAATAGCTAGCACACAGGTATGTTGGTTTGTATAGAAAACCAATAAAGTAGCTTAGGATATATATTTTAGACTTTCAAATTCCATCACCTAGGCGCCCGCCTAGTCACCTATGCGACTGAGCGCCCTGTGGTCGCCTAGGTGACCAGGATCACCTAGGCGCCTTGACAACTATGCTCAGGGTTGAGATCTTTGTGGCTCTGGAAGGAATCCAAAAAGCAAGAGACTTTAACATCAGAATATTGGCCCTTGAAGGTGATTCGGAGGTGGTGGTTACATTGCTTAAGGAAGATAACAGTAGCATGTGGATCTATAGGAATGAAAGGGAAAAATTCAAATGGCTTACTAGGGACATTGAGGTGAAGTACAGCTAGGTGAAAAGAAATGCTAACTCACTTGCCAATGGGTTAGCTAAGCAAGGGGTGAATAGGGTTTCTTTATTTTGGACTAATTTCTAATTCTACTTTCTATGCAATCTGCTGGTGGGGAGTTAAAACTTTTTTCCTTTCCTCTCTCTTGTAATTAAAATTTCATATCTTTAATAAAGCTTACTGTTATTGATCCAATATATATATATATATATATATACCAACCTTGAGTCCATTTCTACCTCTGCCTATCTGAGTTCTAACAGTTTTCAAGCCCCAGACCATGCAGCAATGCCATAATTTCTGCATTTAGAGTCTCCAACTCTCCATTACCTATTGGTTCTGAAAGGCCTACCTTGACCCTGAGGTACTCAAGGCACAAAGAAGAAAGCATTGAATAAGAGCAGGATGGTGGTTGGATTTAGTGTGATGATGAAAGTGACTCAGAAACTAACGAGAGCTCTAGTATCGTCAGTACCTAGACATGTAGGAAATGGACAGCTTCAACACAGAATTGTTATTCTCAGGTGATGAGGAAGAAGCCTGCAACAAAAAAAGAGTTGGGAACATTTAATGGCCAAGAAGAAATGTCTTCGATGGAAGGGGAGTGAGCTAACAAACTTGGGGAGTTGGTTGTAAGCCTAAAAGAGGAGGGACCATCACCAAATTCTCAATGACTGCAAGGTGTACAGAACAGGGAGCAAACACCTTACCAAACACAATGAGGAGCCACTTCGGATAGGGGTATGCAAGAAGGTATGTCCTTGGAATGCATGGATGATCCTCACTTGAATACACCACCCCGACAAGACCCAACAAAGGAAAAGGATAATGAACTGGCCTCTAGTCAAAATGACCATTGTCCTATTAGAATAGGCTCCGAAGATTTTTTGGGTGGCTCTACCCCTTTCAGGTATCTCATATGTGGTTGTCCCATGCTCAAATTTTGTTCATGAGGTTGAGGAGTGGTGGAGAGAAGAAATAAGTGGAATAAAGTGGAAAGGTATGATCTTTCACAAAAAAATTGTAGAAGCTAAAAGCTAACATAATGGAGTGGATAGGGACCATTTGGAAGAATAGAGGACAAAAAGATCAATCTAGCCTCTTAGATCGAGTAGTTAGATGAGGAGTTTCAAGGACATCTAAGCGAGGAGGAGAGAGAATTGTGATGGAAATTGAAGAAGGAAATGGGGGAAGTTCTTTTTACAAAAGGGGTTTGTTGGAGACAAAAATCAAGGGGCAAATGGATCAAAGAGGGTGATGGTAATGCAAAAAAGGAAAAGAAAGAATTTTGTGTCTAAGTTGGAAGTGAATGGTGAAGTGATCTTAAGTTAAAAAGGGATGGCTAGAATGTTTGTGGAGCATTTCAAATCTATTAATGGAGGGCCTTTGGGTGATATATTGAGAATGGAGGGTTTTGATTGGCCATCTATGGATTATGATGTTAGATTATTCAAGAGGAAATAATGAAAACAGTCTTCTCTATGAATAGATCTAAGGCTTCAGGTCTAGATGGATTCACCATGTGTTTTACCAAAATTGGTAGGAAATTTTGGAGCCCGAATGGATTCACCATGTGTTAGTTTTCCTCCTTTTAGTTTTACCCACCCATTTCTTGGACACCTATTTTCTTCTCTACTTCTCTTCAATTATGCACATATTTAAGTTTGCAATTCTTGCACATGTGTTTTACCAAGATTGCAATCCTTGCACATCATTCACTTTGTTCTCCTAAGAAGGAAATCTTTTAGGGCCTAGGCGCACAAGCGCATACATTCATCTAGTGAATTAAAAGGCGCGCCTAGGCGCACAGGCCAGGCGCATTTAGGGTATGCGCCTTGCCTAGGTCCTAGGTGCAGCCCTTTCAAAAGGCATACGCTTGATGTGCTTTGCGCCTCAGCCTAGGCGTGCACCTTTTGAAAATTTGACATTTTTTTTCTTTTTTTTTTTCTCGCTTCGCTTGCTCACTGAAGCTTCAAGAACACCCTATTTGCTAATGTTGTTCATTCATTCATCCTACCAAAATATCCTCTTAAAAGCAATTAAAATTATAAAATCATTATTTTTTGTGTGAGAACTAAGAATTTAAGACCCTAACATGGACTTGTTTGGGCTTGCCTTGAGGGGTGTGGCACAAAGGCAGCTTGTAGAATCAGGAATGTAATATGTTTTACGTCACATTAGCTACTTGAAGTAATGCAATTGTGGAAAAAAGAGATTGTGGGTTTTACATGCTCAAAAATGTTTTATATGTTTGATTTTATTTTTAAATTCTCATTTGAATACACTCTACATGTTATGTTTATGTATTTTAATTTTAGATAATAGGTTTTTTAAAACATTTATTTTAAAATTTAAGTTTATTTTATTAATATTATGTTTAATATTTTTTATTTTTTTTGCATTTTTTTGGCATGTTTTTGAATTTTCTGACATTTTTTTTGATTTTTAGCATTTTGTTTTTGTATTTTTGCACCTTGCTTCAAAAAGGTACGTGTCCGCCTTCTGTCACGGGCGCAAATTGGTCCTTATGCTTTTTTTGCGCCTTGTGCCTTTAAAACACTGCATTCATACTTCTTTTTAAGATATGTGCTTACTATTGCCATATAATAAGCAATTACAAATTTTAAAATTGTATCTCCTGTTTCATTCTTCTTACCAAATCCAAAGCCTCTGTGCATCATATCTTCTCTTCATTTTGAAATTTCTTGATTAATCCTTCTAAGTATTTCCAACGTTTTCTCTAACTTTTTTTCTAAACCCACTTGAGGTGCATGCCACCAATTATGTTAGTGATTTCCTCACTTAACAAGTCAGGTTAAAATTCTTAAAAGGGATTTGTTTACTTGGGTATTGGACATAGGACCGCAAGTTGCAACCAACAGAGGGCCCTCATGGCCTCACCACTTACCTTTCTATAGATATGCATAAGTCTAGGATTCATCATTGGGTAGGTTGCAGCCAACATGTGGCTTTATGTCTTTAGACCATCTAATGTGTGCATCATTTTCAGAGGTTTTAGAGTTTAAATGGCACTTCTGACAACCTTCCAAATATTTGTTCTAGAACATGTTTTCAGTATTAATGTTGATTTCGTGCCCAATTAATCTTAAAGGCCCTTTGAATGGTAGATCTTGATCATGTTCAGCTAGGACATGGCAAACTAAGGGGCCATAGACTATCGTTGGAGAACGAAGAATTGTAGCATAAGGTTGTGGTTAGTATGCATGGGCTTTCTTCTGCTGATAAAAAAACATGTATTCATGGGCTTATGGATGGGGGCTAGCATGGCAAATTATCTACTAGAGCTACTCTTGCTTCATCTTGGAAAGCCCTTCATAAGTTTCTCCCTATGTTCTTGAACCATATCATGTATGATCTGTTCTTGGACAATAAAATTAAATTCTTGGAGGATCTCTGGATTTGGTAGTCACCTTTTGAAAGACTTGTTTAGTTCTCTCTTTTCCACCTCTACCCTTAAAGTTAAGCCCATTGTTGAGTTTGTTGTCCCTTTCTCATCTTCTTAGGGTTTTGATTGGAACTTGGGCCTTAGATGAAACCATAGGGACTTTGAAATTCCTATGGTTTCTAGACTTTTGCATATCCTTGATGAGGTGTTTTTTGCTTCTAGTAGAGTGGATGGGCCCTAAGGTGGTTTTCCTTTTGCCTCCCTGTTCAATCCCCTTCGCAGTTCCAACCTTCCTTTGCTGTCCTTTCCTATGAAGGAAGTGTGAAGTGTTCTCATTCCTCCTAAAGTTGTTGTCTTCTATTGGAAAGTCTTCCATGGAGGCATTAACACATGTGATCTTTTACAAAGAAAGAGACCCAGCTGGCTTTTGTACCCTAACTAGTGTATCATGTGCCAGATGGAATGGTGAAATTTCTTACCACTTACTAATCTCTAGTCTATTCGTCTATAGTAATTGGGGATTGGTTTCTTGCTCTTTTTGTGTGCAAGTGGACTCCTCTTGTTAGCTTGGACATGTTGTTTGAGGCTACTATGATCAAGCAGC